TTTGTTTCATCTTGATTTCATATCATTTTCTTTTTATTTGATTTTATATAATTTTGTTTCATTTTGATTTCATATAAATTTTGTTCCATCTTGATTTCAAATAATTTTATCTCCTTTTGTTTTCAAATAATTCCATCTCTTTTTGATTTCAATTAGTTTCGTTTCACTATAACCCTAATTCCAAATACTTTCGTTGCAAGTTTACTTTGGTTCCAAATAATGTTGTCTCAAATTTATATTTCGATTTCGCATAATCTTACATCAAATATACTTAGATTACGATCAAAACATTTTACAAAACATTCAATATTTCATTTTATATTATGTTTAACCGTCACATCTGTTATGCGAGAAACATAAACTTTGAATTTCATAAAGTATTCGCATTATGTGATGAGAACGTCGTTTTATTTACAATCACATTAAAAAATAAGGAAACGAAATAAAACATGCGAACACAAGTTGTCGCTAATTTAATTAGATATCGCAAACGAAAGAAAGATGTAAAAGTTTGCATACACATGTCGATGTTATTGGAATGTTGTAATACCGGAATGACAAGTGGACAAAGACTGGGAATTGACTTGCAACTTCTTCGGTTTCCGCGTGAAATGAAATTCTCGTTCACGCGAGAATAATGTAATTGGAATTTGCAAAGGCACGCTCGTCGAGTGATAATTACGTCGTAATAAAGATCCACTTCATTAATTTCGAGTCACGATCGCCGCGTTACTCAAACGAGTCATTAAAAACAAACAGTAACCCGAGCGGAAACTGTATTTACGGGAAGAGTGGATCAATTAATGAGCTACTTCAATTCTAGCACTCTTTGCAACAATTTTTTTTGCTCTTTCCAGGCGCAATTTAATTACTCTGCGGCTGTTCGTTTAAAACCGGATTTAATTGTCGCAATTGTTGCGGGTTTTTCGTAAATTATTTCCACGTTTTAACGGTTAAACGAATATTATTGACTTTTGGATTATTAATTACGAAAATTTAACATTTCAAAGAGAGGGACATAGTAACTTTTTTAAAAGAAGAAATTGTCGATTGTACAATGTAAATTGTAATTTGTATAAATCAACATGAAAGTACTTTATTTTTTGTTTAGCGATTAAGTAAATATTATGAACTTGTGGATTATTAATTATGAAAGTTAAAAATTCTCGAAGACGGAAACATTGCAATTCTAATTGAATAAAAGATTGTTCAGAAAGTAAATTACTTGTAATTTTTATAAATCAACGGAAAAGTACCTTATTTTTTGTTTAGTCGTTTAAATAAATATGAGATTCTCAAAGACTAATTAAAATCGTAAAGAGTAAAATTTTGATTTTCATGATTCAACAGGAAAGTATTTGAGCGTGCAACGTGCAGGGGGCAATTATTCTTGAACGTGGAAAAAAGTATCCGTTATGTAAGTAGAACGTGAGGCTTAATAGGTTAGATTGATGAGAATATAAACAAGGAATATAAAACCATTAAGGAGGCGAGTGTTTATTATGTAATCATCAACTGGCCATTTGCACTTATTTACAGAGAAGGGGTTTCACTCTTCAAATATCACGATATAATGTAATTATATATTATTATTTATTATATTATATATTATTATATAGTATATTATATATTATTATTTATTATATTATATATTATTATATATTATTATTTATTATATTATATATTATTATTTATTATATTATATATTATTATATAGTATATTATATATTATTATTTATTATATTATATATTATTATATATTATTATTTATTATATTATATATTATTATATAGTATATTATATATTATATCTTATTTACTGA